CCATTTAACTTGAGAGTATATTGATGACCTGTGGATTTCAGTTGGGATTTTAAGAAAACAGTAGTTACTCTTGACTCCTTGTCACTTGACCTTTTATGTGTGTATATATGATATTGGGGCTGCCCTGGGGTACATAGTTCAAGGCCAGACTGAACTACATAGCGAGACACTGTATCAAGAAATTAAAAAATAAAAATTGTAGCAGCGAGGCATGGTGGTGCATGCCTATAATCCCAGTTACTTGGGATTCTGAGGCAGGATAATTATAAATTTGAGGCCAGCCTAGACAATTTTGTGAGACCCACAAGTCTCAAAAGTGTTGGGGGCCGGGCATGGTAGTACATGCCTGTAATCACAGCACTGAGGCTGAGGCAGGAGAATGTAGCTCTAGCCTCATATTAAGGCCCTGTGTTCAATCCTTAGTGCTGCCAAAAAAAAAAAGTTACCAGTTTTAAAAATGTAATTTTTCTCTTTATTTTAGATGGAAATTATATGACACAGAATATTTGGGTGATGTCTACCTGAAAGATCTTCAAAAATTACAGGTATTTTTAATTTAAAGGTTGACTTTTTTCTCTAAAGAAAAAGATTCCATTATTAAGTTCACTCGAAATTACGTGTTTCCACCATAGAAAATATGTTAAAAGTTAAGTTACATCAGCACTTGGGACAGGGTTGAGGCAGGCGGAGTTCAAGGATAAACTAGGATACATAGTGAGTTCATGGTCATCCTGAAGAGTTCTCTGTCTCAAAAACAAAAAACAGCCAGGCCTGGTAGTACACATCTGTATGTAATCCCACCACTGTGGGGGACTAAGGGAGGAGAATTACAAGTTTGAGTCTAACCTGGGCAAGTTAGTGATTCAGTTAGATCCTGTCTCAAATTAGGAAATAAAAAAAGGGGGTCTGAGAATATGGCTAAGTGCAGAGGCCCTGGGTTCAGTGCCCAGTACAAGGGGGAAAGAAAAGGAAAAAAAAAGTTAAATTGCAAACATCATTTTGCTGCCCTATAATTGATATGATTTTTTTAAAATTGAACCTTTATAGTTAACGTGTAAACCTACATCCAATTGTATCACCCCCCAACCTTCTGTCTTTATTTCTTTGCACTGCTGGAGATCAGAACCAAGGCCTCACACATATGAGGCTAGTCCCTACCCCTGAACTGCATCCCTAGCACAATTCACTAGTATTTTATAAGAAAATGATTCTACAATCCCTTAGAGTGGTTATACCATCATTATACATTTTTCACATTCATTCTTTTTCTTTCTTTTTTAAATTTTTTTATTTTATTTTTTTTCTTGATACCGGGGATTAATCTTGGTGTACTTGCAAGGCAGGCGGTGACACCATTGAGCTAAACTCCAGGTCCCGACATTCATTTTCAATCTTTGGTTTAGATGATGATTAGGATTATGATTACAATTTTCACTTATTGTTGAAGATTAAACTCACGGCCTTTCACTGAGTTGCATTCCTAGCCCTTTTTTATTTTTATATAGTTTGTTTGTTTGTTTGTTTGCTTTTGGTGCTGGAGATCAAACTCAGGACCTTGGGCTTGTGAGCCAGGCAGCAGCTTTTTTATTTTGAGACAAGTTCTGGCTTCACTGGCCAACAATGTTGGCCTGTAACTTTCGATTACCTGCCTCAGCCTCCTGAGTAGCTAGAATTATAGGTGTATGCCATCAAGCACAGCATGGTTGATTTTATTTGTTTTATAAGAGATTATGAAGTGGACATGTTGGCACAGGTCTATCATGCCTCTAATCTCAGCACTTAGGAGGCTGAGGCAAGAAGATAGTTTCCAACTAGCTTCATGGTAGTTTTTTTGTTTTGGTTGGTTGTTTGTTTTGTTTTGTTTTGTTTTTGAGACAGGATCACACTATGTAGTTGAGACTGATCTGGAACTCACTATGTAGTCCAAACTGGTCTCAAACACAGTGATCCTTCTCCTGACTCAGCCTCCCAAGTGCTTGTTTGTTTGTTTTGTTTGTTTTATTTTGGTTGGATATGGTTTGGTTTTGGTTTTTGTTTTGTCTTTTACTTTTTATTTTATTGGTACCTTTTAGCTATGCACAATGATAACATTTATCATAGAGACTTTTTTTTCCCTTGGTACCAAGGATCAAACTCAGGACATTGTGCTTGCCAGGCAGGCATGGCACCACTGAGTTATATCCCCAGCTATCACAGAATTTGTACATGATATATCTTGGGGGGGGTTTTGGTTTGGTTTGGTTTTTTCCATTCCCTTCCCCTCCCTTCAACTCTGTCCTCTCCTTCCTTACAAAAGTTTTTTTTTGAGACAGAGTCTCATTATACAATCCAAGTTGGCCTTGAACTCTTGACAGTCCTCCTGCCTCAGCCTCCCAAGTGGTGGGATTAAAAGTGTGCTCCTCTAGGCCCAGCCTGTGTAGTGAATTTAAGGCCAGTTTGGACTACATTTCAGACAGTGAGGAAAAAAAAAAAAGTGAGAGAGCAATGTATGACAGACTTTACATCTACTTGTATATTTAATCTATATTTGTATGTGTAAATTGTTAACATACTATTAAATCCAAATGGAGTTTAAGGTCTTATTATATTTTACATTATTTTTTTAGGCAGGATCTTGATCTGTTATTCAGGCTGGCCGTAAACTCACTATGTACTGAGCTGGCCTGTCTTGTGGCAATTCTTCTTCCTCTTGACTCGTGCAATCCTCCTGAGTTCTGGGATCACAGTTGTGTGCCACCATGCCTGGTATATTTTTAGTTTTTGTTCTATCACTTCCCCTTCCCTTTCCTTGTAGATTTAAATCCTATTTTATATTTCTAGTAAATCATCACTTGGAATAGTGCTTGTGGGAGCTGGGCGTGGTGGTGCATGCCTGTAATCCCAGTCAGGTCTCAGGAGGCTGAGACAGGAAGATCGCCGCAAGATCAAGGACAGGCAGGGCTAAATAGTGAGTTTAGGGTCAACCCGAACTAGAAAGGAAGATCCTGCCTCAAAAGACCAAAAAAGAAAAATAATGCTTGTGGAAATAAGTTAATGAGTATTTGTCAAATCTTCTCTGGGATGAGGTTAAGATTTGTGATTGTGTGCTTGCTTTTTGTTGTTATTTGTGTTTTGAGACGGGGTCTTGCTGTGTACTGTAATTCAAACTGGCCTTGAACTTACTTTGTAGCCCAGGCTGGCCACAAACGTGGTATTTCTGCCTCAGCCTTTGGAATGTTGGCGTTACATACAGGTGTGTGTCACACTCACAGCTACATGTTTTCTTAAGTGGTATTCTCCATCCTGTTTGTTTGTTTGTTTTTAGGCAAGGTCTTACTATGTAGTCCAGGCTGGGCTAGAACTCAAGATGTTCTGCATCCTGCCACCACACTGACTTTACGGTTTTTATGTCATTTATGTGTAATCAAGTAACAGTTTGGCCAGTATGGTGGCCCACCTGTAATTCCAGCACTCTGGCAGCCTGAGGCAAGAGGATCTCAAGTTCAAGCCCAGCCTAGGAAAATTAGTAATTTAGTGAGATTCTGTCTCAAAATTAAAATAAAATAGGGCTGGAGATGTAGCTTAGTGTGAAGGCCCTGGGTTTAATCCTCAGTACTACCATCAAAAGAAAGAAACATTGTACTCTATAAATATTTTTAAAACTGAATGTAGTGGTATACACCTATAATCTCAGCACTTGGGAGACAGGTAGGAGGATGCTGGGAGTTTGAGGCTAGCCTGGGCTATATCATGAGCTCAAGGCCAGCCAGCCTGGACTATATATTAAGACCTTGTCTTTAAAAAAAAAAAAAAAA